AAACAAATGAAGACAACCGTTTTAAGTTTCAAATGTACAGTGTTAAGTTCATAATTTTGATTTATATTTTATGTCTACAATTGTGGACGCCAGGTCTGAAAGGGTTAAGCAACGAGCCTAAGGGCGCCCCCGAGTGGGGCTCGGACCTCGGCCTATCTACATTTGTATGTTGTTCCTCTTCCATGTTAAATACAGCACGAACAAAGTGACATGTGCAAATAGTTCCTATTTTCGATGCGGAAGAGGGACGCATATACGTGCGGAGTGAGATAGCACCATCAGTGCAGGAAAGACCTTGTTCGCTATTGAATGAGGTACTTCTATGAAGTTTAAAATTATTCTAAATATTGTAGAGCCTGTATTATGCTACGCATAATGGCAGTTTCAGATAAATGACATCCATTGCTGGAAAAAGGTCTCCCCCAAGGATTTCCATAACGACCGGTTTTGCGCTTGCTGTATCCAGGTTCTTCCCGCGACCTTCACCAGATCGTCGGACCACCTAGCCTAGTGGGAGGCCTGCCCACGCTACGTCTTCCGGCCCGTGGAATGCTATAGCAACTACATGTAAGATCCTTCTGTGACGAAGACTATATCATGACGTACAGTCAGCGTAAAATAGTTCTTGACACCCAAAGTGACCAAAAAGTTGATTACACAACTTTATTCCAATTGTAACAAAGACGTGTTGCGAACTTATTGACTACTTTGGGTGTCACGAATTATTTGACGCTAACTATACCATAGTATAAAAATATTTTTTGCTAATCAACAGAGCTCGCAAAAAAATTTAGAGTCAGTGCAAAGAACTTCACAAATCAATCGGTTCTTCGGCACACACATTAGTTACAGGTAGTAACAGTCCATCACGGAAATCGAACCCAAGGCCGACAGTTCTTTGACTGCATTTGAGACTCAAGGCGAACTAGAGATCTTACATTCCGAATGAAAGGTGTTTCTTAATATGTAAATAATATCTATTACACTATTATAGTTGTCATATGCATGCCATGCCATTATAGCACTTAAGTTGTCCCGAAGTGGTGGTATGGCAAGCTATATTTGGGACGTGTATAAGTGCCCTGGAAAGGGCCTAATAGGCCCTCAGTACATAGGCCCGGCCTATGTACTGAATAATCTATTTTATTTCATTAACAAATAAATAAATAAATAATAAATAAATAAATGCTTTGCACTGGAGGGAAGTCGAACTTTAACATCGAACTCCTCCAATGTTCTTCTCATCAATTTCTTTGCAGGTCCAATGACAGTTTAACTTTCCCCCAGGACAAACGTGGCCTTCACTGGTTGGGTTATTGTCTGAAGATCCTGGCTACACAGGAGTTGCAGCGGTGGGAAAGAGAGGTCATAGATAGGACTATTCGCTGGCCATATTACGTTGATGATAATGTTAAATGCGTGCTTTTAAAATTACAGATTTGACCCAAAGCCTTATCAAAGGCCAAAGGTCGAGATCGAGAAGTTATAAAAATAGTTTATTTATACTATAAATATAGGGCGAATGATATAACTATCTCTATCATAGAGATAGTCTTGAAGAAAGGTGCTTTGAAAGTCGAGTGTAGGTTATGTCATAGTTAACTTTAACCCTTCAACTATTTGTAGAGATTAACTACAAGTTACAGTGTTAACCTCTGTGATATATCTATTACTAATAATATAAATGAGAAAGTAACTCTGTCTGTCTGTCTTGCTTTCACGCCTAAACCATTTAACCGATTTTAATTAAATTTGACATAGAGATAGTTTGAGTCCCGGGAAAGGACATAGGATTGTTTTTAACTCGGTTTTCGAAACAGGGACGCGCGCAATAAAGTTTTTCTGTGACAGACAAAATTCCACGTGGGCGAAGCTGCGGGCGGAAAGCTAGTAGGTATTGAGATAATTGAAATAGCTCATTTTCAAATAAATAATTATTCCATACTATGATGTTTTGGAGAAAACTTCACACTGACAAGGGTAGGGGAACCTGTTGAACCTTGGACAGAGTTGTACCTAAAACAATTGTATATATTTTTTAAATTATGCGGTTTTATGAAAAGTTGTCTAGGGTATTACATACGTTATTTGTCAACATTAACGTGAAGTTAGCTATGATTCGCCGACGTCGTGCAAGTACAAGAAAAAATGGTAATTAAATATTTTACACTGACGCAGTGAGTTTTTGGAGGTTTACTTAATGTCAATTTATGAAAAATGTTGCATGTTTGACAAAACGGTTATAGTTAGAACATAATCTTTATATATCTAGCTACTGGACGATATGAGTTTCAGATCCTAAGCTCAAATGGAAGTGGGTTTATTATGCTTATTAAGTGAAGTAGTCGCAATGTTGTACCTTGACCACCCAACTAGCGATGTACCTTGGTCACGGATTTTCATTACGTTTTAATGAGAATTTTATTGTAATAAAAAAAACATATTATACTGTTATAGATACAATGCCCCGAAGACCTCAAAATAGCAATTTAAAGTCTGTTTTTGATATATATTTTTTTAATTTCTAATGTTATTAAAATTTATGTTTATTTTATCTTCATATGACTTTTTTAAGATTATTTTTGTTGATAAAGCGGTTTCAATGGATATTTTGCTAGAATTTATGTTAAATGATAAGAAATAAAAAAAACTACATTGCAAGTTAAAGCCACTCCAGCGCGTATTTTGTCCTACACGACATAACATATCAACATTCAACAAAATTTTCTAGAAAAAATGTTAAATAATGTCATATTTTTGTTGATTGTGTAAGGCTAAACATGGACTGGAGAGCCGGCTTAAACTTAAGTGATTTGTTGCCAAAAAATTGTGAAAAATAATTAGTACAAAAAATGTGGATGAGGATCTTTTTTTAAAAATACTTTTACTTAGATATTGTTGCTAATAACTGTAATAATTGGTATTTCAAATAATAATTTAACAGAAAATTAACAAATTGAAGCGAATATAAGCATTTATTTAAATTTAAATAGGTACAACGTACACAGTCCAAGGTACACCTGGTTTGTTGTACCTAGGACAGTTTTCCCTTTTTTTTTCTAGCAGCTAGTATGCCCAAATTTTTAAAATTATACACAATTTTATGAATGAATTATGTAGTTCATTAAATGATCTTTAAATATAACTGCACTAGACAAGTTTAACTATCACCATTATTTTTCAAAAAGTCAAAATTCGAAAAACTGGCCTAAGTACAACAGGTTCCCCTACCTATCCCCCTAAAATAAATTGAGAATATTAGATAAGGCGTTTTTGGATGAGAAACCTCAAAATCGAATGAGTGCACATAACACCCACTATAGTTGTGGATTCGGATTCTACTGGGGTCAGATGTCAGTGATTGTTTGTGGAAGTACCTTACATTCAATACAGCAACAAACTAAATACATAAATACAACTATAACATCAAAACGTTGTTTACGAAAAATCAAAAATTTTACTGTTACCACAATTCAATTTTAAATTAGCAGTGAAAACTCATAGGCTTGTGTAAGACTTATTTTTTGTATGCTACTTGTACATACATAAGTTGAATATTTTCCTAATAAAGAAAAAAAAAAGATAAGTACCTACCTACTTGAAAGAGGTTTTAAATACCCAAAAGTAAAGTCACTTTACTATCAATATTATCATCAATAAGTTCCTTCCTTGTTGTGGATAAAAAAAAAACATGTAAATGCAAATGTAAAAGTTAAAAACGTAAAAAACAACAGCAAAGGAAGTAAATACGGAAAATGCACTTATATTTATCATATTAACTGAAAAAATCACGTTGCAAGCACGCTTTGGTAGGAAACCCTATAGGGCTAATGCAGTTGATGCTCCATCGCACTTGTCGGACTGGATTTGTTTACATGTTTATTTATAGAATGCTACCGGTAAGGTAAACAACAGCAAATTAACCCTTAATAAGGCAATGGGAATTCAATTACCTTATTTTGTACTTTATTTCCCTAGTCTTCATGTCAAAAAATAACATTTATTTATTGTTTTTGGACTTAAATTAATTGACCTGCTCTGCCCTATCAAGAAAAGGATAAGATACAATGTAGCACCAAGTACCTAACTAGTTGTAATAAGTGATGTCTTGCAATGAAAATTGTTTAGTGTTGTTTGTGCTGTTTTTGTATTTAGGTAGAAAAATCAAATTCTTCATTGTGAAATACATAAAAGCTTTTCTGTGTTAAATACATGCTGCTGGAAACCGTTTATTAGGTAGGCATAAACAATTTTTTTTCTCTTTCTTATCTAGGTAGGTAGGTACCTAATTTTTCCCTACACCAAGTGTGGTGTAGTGAGCACACAAAACAAATAATTTAACCTCTTTAATATTAGTTGATGTCCTTATTTAAATTAGAATGAAAGTTAAACTCAAATATAGAAGAGCAGCTACTGCATTTAGAATGTCTGTCGTTTCAGCCGAAAGACGTCCACTGCTGGAGAAAGGCCTCCCCCAAGGATTTCCACAAAGACCGGTCCTGTCTGACTGATTCCAAAATAAGTTTGCTAGCACTGTATTTGATTTTGTAAATAAAGAATTTATTGGGCTTTTGAACCAGGAACTTATAGAAATAAGATTACAATTAATAAACAATAGTTAACTCTTTCAAGGAGTAAGTATATAAAGGCAGATTTGTAATTTAAAAAATACCACATGGAAAGATAAAATGGTGCCACATTCCTCCTATGTAAATCTTGTGGGCTCTTGTAGGGTTTTAGGAGAAAAACACGTCAGGTTTTGAAAAAATCTAGGAAGTAGGTATTAATTGAATGACAGCAAATTAAAAAATCTATGTGGGTTGACTGAAAATTTTTAATACTGGAGAACTGAAGAGTTGAATACCGATATTTACAGTTGAGATTTGTACCTACTTAAGGTTTAAATACTGCATAAATAATTAAATAGGTACCCTCTGACCAAAATTTCGATGGTATCCGAAGATGTAAGTTCAGTTGAAAAAATAATAAATAAGTCTTACCTGCGAATATGTTAGTCTAAGGGCGTACTGGGCAATTTGTGTCGTTTTCATAGTGTCCAAAACCAGTCGGTGTACTGCAAAAAAACAAAATCACAGTCAAATTCACTAAACATTTTTAATTTGTCCCTTCATAACCTAAACGTCAAGAGATTTAATCAAGTCACAAATTTATAACTTGACTCACAAATTGTTTGTAAATAAATTTAATAAACTGTTTATGTAATTAAAACGAATTTGAATACATAAATTTAAATTTAAAAATTTACGTACATGCACTCGCTGAGTTCTGCGAATGAAAGAAAAATGTTCAAGACAGTGTTGCCAGTCGGGTCTAGTCAGAAATTACCAGAAATATAAAAAAAAGTAACCTTTTTNGTGTAAGGTTGTTCATGGATGGAAAATGAATACAATTGATCATCTAAATTCGAAAAGTGACCAGTTGTGTAAAAACGTTTCATGGATTTGCGTTTTATTATCGAAAAACATTCGCTAAAACTCATTTTTTTTAACAAACAATAAATCAAATTCAAGTTTAAATGCACTTTATGACATAATTTTTAAATTGTCACTATTAATATTTTTTACTGAATAACCTGTAAAAGTTAATTCTACAATTTCTGAAAAATCACCTAAAAGTAACCTTTTCATTAGTGCAACCTAAAAGTAACCACTGCAGTTCAAAAGTAACCTAAAAGGTTACAAAAGTAACCTTCTGGCAACACTGGTTCAAGAAAGAATGATCGTTGTGTCAAATGTCAATGCCAAAGAGCATAAAAGAGTCAATGCTGTCGGCTGACAGTAATGACAGCTAAATTTTTCTTATGTTGGCAATGGCTACTCTGTGTTACCAGTATATAGTTAAAATAAGGTACTAAATTATCGTCAAAATATCACAAACATTGACAGAAAAATATCCTAAGCATCACTATAATTCAATCATTAAGATGGAGCACACTGTTTCTAATCGTTAATAATAAAATAATACATTTTGTGTGTACGTAAAGTAGTGCATGATGCATGATTACAGTCTTGTTTTATTTTCTTTAATTTACATCTTTACCTGCTTATTATATTTTATTACTTTGCGATACATACACCATTCTGAATTACTTATTCATTTTGATTGAAAATTATTTTTTTTACAATGTAATATATTTCATGTGCAATCTGGGGGCACGGCAGTGCCCCCACCAAGTCGAGCAAAAAAGCGGCACGGCCGTACCATCCTTTTCTCGAAGCAATTTAGGCCATTTTCGACCGCCTGTAACTTCGTTGTGGATAAAACTAGAAGGCTGAATTTTCATTAGCTATGCAGGCATTGTAAAGACACGGTATATTTAAAATTTCATTCAATTTGAACCAGTAGTTTAAGAATTATAACGGGTCAAAGTTACTTAATTTTGTCACTCACTGACTGACTCACTGACTCACTGACTCACTCACTGACTCACCGATCATCAAAACTCTAAGGCACTTCTAGCAGACCTAGAAGCTTCAAATTTGGAATATAAGTAGTGTTTGGTGTATGAATCAAGGAAAAACTAAAATATTTGGGGGCACGGTAGTGCAACCGCCAAGTCGAGTAAAATTTTTCAATTTCGGTCCAGTTTTCTAGATACATAACTGCTGTCTACAAAATACAAAAAGAAATGAGATCCCATCAAAAACAATACTTGTCAAAAAAACCAAGTCTCGCAACTCAGTTGTTCTACGGTAAAAAGTTGTGAGATCCATGTAATACCAAGTCCAGGCCAGGAAATCTTTAACGTTTTACATAAATATATTGACTTGGCCATCGCATGAAAACACGTGTAAATTAAATTATTTAGTGCGATGGCCAAGTCAATAATTTATGTAAAACGTTAAAGATTTCCTGGCCTGGACTTGGTATTACATGGATCTCACAACTTTTTACCGTAGAACAACTGAGTTGCGAGACTTGGTTTTTTTGACAAGTATTGTTTTTGATGGGATATATTCTACTAAGAAAGAGGATTTTTACTTTTGGCAACATTAAACAGTACTGCCAACACAACAGCATAAATAAACGTTCCGTTCAACGCAATAGATGTTTGCATAATAATTGGACATAATAATTTATTTAATTTGCTGTTGTACAAGATTTTAAGATTTTAATGTGTTTAATTAATATTCAGACGACTAATTAATTCAAGCGGGCTTAATTCGATTATTTATCTCCAGAGGTGAGTTTAATAATTTTTCAAAGTGAGGATTTGATCCTGTGAGCGTGTTGCTCATAGCCTCTCCAGTAGCGGGTAGCGGGAATTAGTTTTATTTCAAGGCAGTAGCACTAAAACACAGTTATAGCAACGTTTGGCCCTAATTCTCTGAAGAGTCTAGTTCTTCAAAAAGCATCTGCTATGCCTTTTATTTCAGGCGCTACCGCGAAGTGGTATTGTTACGGATTGTAATACTCGTAGCACTTACTTACTACTTTTGAATAATTATTATCTTGGTACTATGTCCACTCTTTTTTATTATTATACTCAATTAATGTTCTTTCTCTCTTCCAAATAAACTGCCTAGTATCTGCAGCTTATCATTTATTTATTTTATTGCAACAAAATACATTGTACACTCACATTTGCAAATAAAAGTGTTTATAGAACAAGAAGGCGCTTAAAATACCTTTTACTTATAACATCATTTGCGACTGAGATAAAACTCGTGCTGTAACAAACCTAGTTACGTTATAATAGTACCTACCCTACTCCACCATTTTATTATGAGTATAGGTATATACCTACCTACATACTGAGTACTGAAACCATCAATATTTTATGACAAGTTTTCAAAATGTCTTAATTATTTTAAAATTGAGAGTTCAACTACCTACTTACTTAGGCATTGATGCTCAGAGTCAGAGCCTAGGTACATTGTTAAGCTTAAGGCTCGTTGTTTTATTTTGATATATTTTATGCTAGCACAATCCTACCTTACTAGAACTTATACTTAGTAGGTAACTGCGGAAGAAATCTAAGTTAGGTCTTACCCTACAGCAGTGGTGTGGTTCTGGCAAATTAGAAAGGAGGACCCCTACTAACCTCCCGTGGATGTCGAAAAAAGCCACCAAGGAAGGGACAAATAGGCGAACATCAGTCCTCCCAACCCGTCTGGATAGAGTGAGGAGTAGGCCATTTATCCTCCATTTTATGGATGTAGGTACTTGCATCAAATAAATACTTTTTCGTTCTTTCTTTCTAATATTAGAGAGGGTCGGGCTCCTGCAGTAGAGAGAGACTAATGCCCGTTTTCACCATCAATTCCTTATTTTTAAGTGACCCCTATGACAATAAAATTCCTGTTATTTTTCACCATAAGGGTCACTTAAAAATTAGGGATTGATGGTGAAAACGGGCATAAATGACCTGATGATGACTGACGTTAGTCCATCTGAATCACAAAAATATTTTCTGGAACAGGTCAGATATTAAGTAGTTACAGCATGTTTGGTTACTAGGTATAGTTAATTCCCATTTATTTCATTACATTAATAAGCACGTTTCATCATATTTGAGTTGGAGCGAGGCCGTATCGCGCCTGCGCAAACACTGTCAGTTTGTTGGCTGATGGCTTTGCCCTGATAACTAAATGGGGCGGCTGGTGCTGATGCTGAAGACTACAGGTTGATTTAGGAATATTTTTCTTTATGTATCTAGGCACAATCCTTTTGTATCTAGAACAAGCTGAAGTGGCTATGGACAGGGCACATATATGTACGCAGAACTGACGGCCGATGGGGCAGCAAGGTTTTGGAGTGGAGGCCACGTACCGGAAAACGCAGCGTGAGACGTCCGTACAAGGTGGACCGACGACCTGATACTTAAAGGTAGCAGGAAGGCGCTGGATGCAGGCCGCTACCAACCGTGCGATGTGGAAGTCATTGGGGGAGGAGGCCTATGTTCAGCAGAGGACGTCCTGTGGCTGAAATGATGAATTCTTCTAAAAATTGAATATGTTAATAAGTTTGTCGACTACAAAGTACCTATTGACATTTAAACAGACCTGAAAACTAGTACTGTAGCAATGTGTAATGGAATGACTAAGATAAGTAATCTACTGAGTAATATTCTGACTGAACAGCACAGTCTGACTAACTAGTACCTATCGAAGTATTGTCACAAATTGACCTGCTCAAACCCGGTACCTTTGGGTATGCAGATGACACAACAGTGACAGCCAAATATCTTTCCAGCGCAAAAGCCAGCAGGCGTGAGGTCGAGTCTTGTCGTGAGTCCCTTATCGAGCGCTTAAATTTGGCCCTTCAGGATGTCTCTGATTGGGGCGATGCCAATCTGGTCCAGTTTAACGCGTCCAAAACACAGGCGTGTCTGTTCTCCGCCAAACGAAGTCCATTTCGTCTGGCTCCAACATTCCGAGGTGTGCCTGTTAAAATCACCGAGCGACTCCAACTTTTGGGTATCGAAATGTCCAGCAAGTTGAACTTTGGCGAGTACATCGAATCCATAGCGAAAACTGCTGCCAAAAAACTTGGTATCCTCTCGAGGGCAAGGCAGTACTTCTCCAATAAGCAAAGGCTGCAGTTATATAAAGCACAGATCCGACCTTGCATGGAATACTGCTGCCACCTCTGGGACGGCTCTGCCAAGAAATATTTGGCTGCTTTGGATTCGGTGGAAAGGCGTGCCAGGAGACTAATCGACAGCCCGACCCTTGTTGAAGCGTCGCTCCAGGAACTTGATCACCGCCGTAAAGTTGCTTCTCTAACGGTTTTCTACAGGCTACACTTCGGAGAATGTGCGAAGGAATTATACAACTTAATTCCACCAGCCCCTTTCCATCACCGGGGAACCAGACGCAGACTAGCGTACCATCCCTACATTGTCGACATTCCACCAGCTCGCACTAAGCGTTTCGACGACTCCTTTATAATGCGAACAGCTAGGGACTGGAATTCGCTGCCTGCTGCTGTATTTCCTGAACACTATAATCCGGGCGTTTTCAAGGCGAGAGTGAATAGGCACTTACAGGGCAGATATGTACCATCCTAGACTGCATCTCACTTAACACCAGGTGCGATTGCGGTCAAATACCTGCCTTGTCTAGCATAAAAAAAAAAAAAAAAAAATTACATAAAATTAAGTAAGTAGGTACTCGTATAAAATGATAATATCACCCTGTAAGTTTACTGTGGCTGTAGGTAGACGACAGTACTGGTTTAATTAGTTAGGTAGCAATTAAAAAAGTAAATAATGTTATCTAATTTCTTTAAAAATAATAGATACCCAGTTTTGCGTACCTATCTTCGTGATTTCAGATGATCTTACGCATGAATTTTATAAACATGTTAACCAATATTATTATGGCCTAAACCTAAACTTGAACAACTGACACTGAACCGATTTGTTTGAAATTTGGTATGAGAGATGATAGTTTGAGACTGATGCCCGTTTTGACCATCAATCCCTAATTTTTAAATAACCCCTACGTAAACAAAATTCCTGTTATTTGTTAACATAGGTAGGGGTCACTTAAAAATTAGGAATTGATGGAGAAAACAGGCATGAGACTAGGGAAAACATAAGATAGCCTTATTCCAATTTTTGAAACGGCCACGCGCGTGATTTTCTTTCTAAGATAGGTAGGTAAAATATCATCATCATCTCAGCCATAGGACGTCCAATGCTGAACATAGGCCTCCCCCAATGCTTTCCAATTTCCATGCTGCCTGGTTGGTAGGTAAAATATAAAATAGATGAATATATGTAATGAA